AGTGCTAGTGCATTCGAATTTTCCGAACCAGAGGACACATCTACCAACGCAACGGGAAGAATACCTTTTGCAGTTCCCTCACAAGGTTTAACACAAGCTGCGTTGTTTGCAGAAGTAGTGTTTGTATTAGTTTGAGTCGATGGTGATCGGTCGGCCTCTTTGGGCGGGAAAACTTTCTCGGCTCCATGAAGAAGCACATTGTGAGTGCTCTCACAGTCCTGTTTTGGGCATTTTCTTGCCTTTTGGCACTTTCGGAAGGTATGGTTGCCTTGTAAACAAGAAAAACAGAGCTTTTGTTCTGCTACATATTTAGCCCTCTGTGTTGCGTTTTTCTCTTTGAACACGGAACAGTTCCAGAGTGCATGCTGCCCTTTGCATAGCGAGCATGGAGGAAACCTTGTCTTTTCTCTACTTTTCTCATCCTTAGAACTTACCTTAGTGTTACCTGCAAGCACTTTTGTAACTACTTTTTGTTTAACTGGCTGCTCGACTTTGACTAAAGATTTCAATCGCTCATGGCCTTCTGCCTTATTCTTAAGCCAATCGTTGAAGTCTAGCAATGTTAATCGCTGCCAATGTTGTCTAAGAGTATGCATGGACCATGCTTCTTTTAGATTTGGAGGAAGCTTACTGACGGCTTGATTTAATAGGTTCACACTTTTCAAGTCGTCATTGAACGACAAAGACCTAAAAACAGCTACGAGCCCAGAAATCACCGCAGAAAAACTTATAACATGGTCAGAGTTGTGCATCTTCAATGCGGGAAAATTCTTCAACTTATCCAAATGTGCACCAACTACAACATGAGGTTGCCCAAACTTTCTCTGGAGAGTTGCTAGAGCATCCTTATACAACACTCCACTGTAGCCGTATTCCGCAATTGCACTCTTGGCTTTGTCTTTAACGTGTGTTTTCAGATATTTGAGTTTTTCATCATCAGTTAGCATAGCCGAATCAACTGTTGCTTGGAACTGCCCGAACCATTCATACCAGTTAAGTGGTTCTCCATCAAACACTTCCAATTTCAACTCCGGTAGACGGTCTTTGCGGCTATGCAGAATGATGTCTGCTAACTCTCTCGCCGAGATGGGTTGTTCGTCGCTATTAGGCACGTAAGACGGGCCCGTAGTGGGCGCAGGATATGTAGGTGGATAACCTTGATGCGCTGTTTCAACAACTGGATGAGTTTGCGGCTGGGTGTAAAACACAGTCCCAAAACTTGTATAAGGAACTACGGTGTTTGGTGGAACAACAGGAGTTGTCACTGAGAAAACGTTTGAGGGCGGTGCGCAGTATTGAGGAACTGGCATCGTTTGCGCAGTCGCGGCAGGTCTCCACAAACTGCTATACGGGTTATAGTGTTCACTTGAGAAACTTGTTGGGTTGTTTGGAACATTTATAGGTTGATGGGATGGCGCTGCAGGCGCCTGATACCCAGTTGAAACGGGGCCGGAATGTGGCTGACTGACCGGAAGCAAAGAGGGAATAGGAACGGTTGACGGGACAAATGGTTGAATAATCGGAAGCGAAATGGGAATCGGAACGGTTAATGGAGGAACAAAAGGTTGACTCGCCGGAAGCGAAACTGGATTAGTAACGGTCGACACAGAAGGCGGTGCCACATTAATGGTGGGATTACCAAAGGGCATTGAAGCGGGAATGCTACCACTTGCTTGTGGTATCAGATTGTGGTTTTGCGAAACTTCAGCATGAGGTGTTGAAGCTAAGTGTGGAGTAACGAAGTTTGAGCTGGAGGCAACGAACTGTGGTAAACTAGATGGGTCTTACAGTTTTTGACGGTTTTGGAGATTTTCGGCACCGGAAGAAGCTTGCACGAGTATGAACAGCTACCGCACGATACCTGTGTGAAGGTCTCCGTTTTACCAGAACAGCCCGAGAATCTAGCACTCGACACCTGTTTTTTAGGCCTCCGAAACCCCGATCTGGCCTCCGAAACTCTTGATCTCAAGCTGAACACTTGCTTTAAATGTCAATCGATTAGCTTCTAAAGCAGTTCGACGGCTGTCCAATTTGTAGGGGTGATGTTTTACTGCACCCGCAAAACGTAAATATAGTTGATAAATGTCTGTTACAGCAGGGCTGACTGTTATTGCAGAAATGTTATTGCAGGACTGTTCGTAATCCGTTGCCTAACTGTTGGTCTGAATTACTCCTGGTCGTATTTCAAAATTCAATCAATTATTGGGAACTTTCAGTCAAAAAAGAAGTCCCTTGTGGGGCGCCAAAATGTGCGCGTCAATCTCCAAGATTATAAAAAAAACGGTTTTTAAACACTTTAATTAATGAGTATTTTCTCGGCAAAATAACTCCGGAAATATAACGGAAATTTGAAAATATAACGATAATTTTAACAAACTCTATCATCGGTAACATCGGCCACAATAAACTGCATAACTCAAAGCAAGCTGCAAAAATGGCCAGTATTTGTCCTTGAGACAAATTGCTCTTTTTAAAGGTCAGCCATAACCAAGGCTGAACCAAATTAGAGCGAAAAGACGGTTAAAATGGGTTTTGGGGGGACCGAACCTGGTTACGGGGCATCCCATCAAGTTCGGTGCACATTCGAGTTCTAGAAAGGAAATGACCTAGTCGGGATTCGAACCGGCGCCGAACCCGCCGGGACGCACCATGTATACGCTTGGCTACTGTCCCTGTATGTATTTACTTTTATATGCATTTATACTCTCGCACATTTACATTTGCGCTGCAACACTCGTTATTAAGTTCACTGTTTAGATCACACCCGTCTCTCTGTCGTTCACTGAAAACGATACCATACCATCGGGGACCGATCGTTTAGCAGACCAATCTCTTAGCGTAAAAACTAAAATATGTAGCTTTTGGCAGACTTCGATTGACAAGCAATTAGCTGGGACTGAGGCGCCAGTAACTCTGGGTTGAGCATCATTGTTTCACAGGGACCAATCGCTTAGCAGACCAATCTTTTAGCTTAAAAAGAGAAAAATGGCCTTTTAGCAGACCAACGTAACAAAATGATGGATGATTGATTGACAGACTCAAAAGGACGCTCAGTCTGGGGCTCCCCAATTAGGTCAATTATTTCACGATTTGTCAACAAAACTATCATTTTCAAAAACACAACAGTCTAAATTAGCGGCAAAACAAAGGTTTACGCGCACATTAACACTCGTGTTGAATTGAAGCGCAGCGGATCAATTGGTCGCTAATCGCCAATGCCGCGTTTGAAGTTAGCTATCATACTTAAGAATTGTTTTGAGTCTGCTAAAAAACCGGCCTGCTAAAATCCCCCTAGACCTTTATTTCACGCTTTGTAAGCAAAACTTGAATCTCATTTTAGCAAGTTTCAAATTGTTTCTCAGTTCATCTCAGTGAATTTCTCAAATGTTCAAGGCAAAAACCGAGGGGAAAACTTAATATGCAATGATTTTCTTTTCAAAAAAAGTTTAAAAAAGGATTTATTAAATATTACAAAAGTAAAGACAGTAATTGTGGATCCAGACTTTCTTTTGATTTACAGAAAAATATTATTATAAATTTGCCTTCTAACCATAATCATTTACCGCCCCAAGATGAAATAGCTGATCAAAAATTTCGACAAAAACCCAGGAAAAAACTTGAAACCGACCCTACATTTGAACCTGAAACACCTTAACCGAAACGAATTGCAAGATTTTTCCAACGAATTGCAGAACGAAGACGAAAAAGACAATTTTCTGCCTCCGAGTTAGCTCCACCTCCATTTTTACCAAATTTACACCATTTTTAGGTCGTCGAAAGAATGGAAAATTCCAGTTGTTTTGGCCTTACTCGGCGAAAAAGCCGAGGAAATATATCAAAATTTTTTTGGCATTTTGCGCCAGATATTTCAAGAATTTTCGGGAATTTCTTTTATCACCGAAAATATGATCACAGACTACGAGACGGGTGTCATACGCGCTATTCAAAAAATTTTCCTCGTCTCCCAACATTTTGGTTGTTGGTTTCACTTTCCCAGTGCGTTTTGCGAAAAAATCAGGAATTTGGGTTATATACTTTTTATATGCACGGTCAAAAAATTCAAACAATTTTTTCAAAAAATTTTTAGTTTGTTTTTCCTGCCATTTGGCGAGCTCACTATGATGCTAGCAACTTATCAAGGAGAAGTTCAAGAATAAATTAACGAAAACGAAAAGTTGGGGAACATTTTTGACTATTTTTCACAATTTTTGCGAGAGTTGGAATGCTGGCTGGAATAAAACTGTAGGAACTTTTAGACCAAATTTTTGAAAAGTTTGAAAAAATTATTTTATGAGGAATTGTAGTCTCGTCTACAAATACGACGTGTTAACCGAGGGGAATGCCCGCCTTAAAAAAAAATTTGAGACCTGGATCAAAAAACTTTGAGGCTTAAGAGCTGATATCTGATATGTCGGCGGAAATTTATCAGAATTCGAGTATTGGGACGGAATAGCCATGATTTGTCGATTAACTCAATAAAAAACTGGACTCATTTTATGTTAAGTTCATTAATTCCACTGAAATTTGTTAATATGCATTCACAAAATTGAAAAATCTGCTATTTTGATCCTTTATATCCAAAAAAAAACAATAAAGCTTTCTGAATGTTCAATTTTGAGTCTGCTTAAAAACCGGTCTGCTAAAAAATTGGTCTGCTAAAATCCGTAGACCCCATACCATCTACAAACTCTAACTCTACTTTTTTTCAGTCCAATCAAAAACAAACCCTAATCGAACGCTCCTTCCGATTTCGTAAAAATACGGGAAAATGGGAGTTGTCATCAGCTTTATAAGTAACTAAGTTAAACAGCATTTGGGATCGTTTACTTCGTCCGCCTTGATTTGCAAGTCACAAGCGAAATTGAAATGCTGCCTTGAGGCCAAATTAACAACCAAATTATAGTTTTAATCTGGCATTTGACAAAAGATGGAGCATCGTTCGCATTATAAAAATCTGATTTTGATTTAAGAAGACGCGGAATTTTAGTGTTGGAACATACCTGCCGAGTTCTTTGATTCCACAGGCTCCACGCATCAGACACTGGGCCCGGAATATCTCAAGGAGGGTGGAATTTTTATCCTCTATAATCGCCTTGCACTTTTTCTTCAATTCCGCCTCGTGTCTGGTCGTTGCCGCCATCTTGAATTAATCGTCTGTCTTATTCTTCTGTATGATTCGTCTGACGTATTCTCTGTCTTATTCGTCTGTCCTATTCGTTGTACACAATCTGTTCAGTTGATGCTCTTTTTCTCCTTCAATAGATAGTTTATTTTCAAATTGTAACAGAAATTTTGTAATTTATTATTAGGTTATGTAAAAATTGCAGTTGGCAACAAAGTTAAGTCCCAACCACCGAACGGTACGCCATACTGGGCTCAAATCCACCTTGTTTTTTTCATTGTTTTTTTTTCATGGTTTTTCATTGTTTCTTCAAATTTTGCTGTTTTTTCGAGTTAAGAAACCTTTCGAAGTTTTTCTGAGTCCACTACTATGCTTTGCTGCTTTTTGTTTTGAATTTTGATGCAAAATACGAAAAAAAATTGTTTTGATCAGATTTCCAAAATCAGTGATAAATTTTTCCGCAAATTTCCTGTTCGCCTGAAAAACTCCGAAAATGATGTTGTTAACTATGTTCCAACTGTCTAAAAAGAATACACTAACTTGATAAACGATAGAACAGAGAATAGAGGTATAAAAATTAAAGAATATTGATTGGAGCAATTTTTTTCTAATCTGATATTTTAAATGGTATATGACTTTTTCGTTATTTGAGCAATATGCATTAAACATGAATAAAAAATGTATTTTTTGAACACAGTATAAACCATACAATATGAAGACGCACGTGCAGACAATATACTAGCAATACTGTTGATGGACCGAGATTTCAATTTCGGTTTTATAAGTATGCCATCTGCCCCTCATTTAGAGTATTTGTTCCGACTTCCGTAACGAAAGTCACGGAATATTTGTGCTCTGGCTGTTTTTTTTATCATCAGACAAATTCGACTTTTTAACTAGCCATTTTTGACGGGATTTTTTAAATATCATTCGAAAGGTTTTGTTGTCCTGAGCTTAAATTTGAAAAGATATTTCACCTGTCATTATTTTTCTTAAAGTTATGGGGGTTTAAAGATTGCCATTATGGCCAATTTTTGGGACAGTTAACGCGCGATATAATTCGCACTATTAACGCGTAAGCGGAGATTTAATCCGTCTCAGAAATCGTTTCAAATTGGTTGAAAGAAGCTTTTTTGCCATAATTGATTTGTTACAAGGAGCGAAATCTATCCTTTTGTATTTTGTATGGCGTGTGGGGGATGATTTTCATAAAAAATTTCAAATTTTAGAAGAAAAACATTTAATTTTTTAATATTATTACTGCTCCATAAACCTTAAAAGGCAGTTGAAACACTCAGGGCTTCGCCCTGATACGAGCAGTCTTGTTAAAAATTGATGGCCGGTTTAAGTTCAAAGACAAATCGAGAACTTAGGTATTAGAGGCAAAACTCAGAAATACTATTTAAAATAAGCATTGATCGATTGATGACACAGTTCAATCATATTTGCGGAATTGTTATATCTGACAACAGCTAAGCTGGCTCTGCCTAGAGTCTCATACAGTACTGTAGTATTAGCTGATTCCGTTTGGGGCTACTTAGTAGAGTAGTTTCAGATTTAGTCTGATTGCCACGCTACCTTATTTTTGGGAGACTAATTTCGTGCTAAGACAAATGTTTTTCGAACTATATAATTCGGATCAAATAATTAACTCCGATAGCAGACAGGAAACCGGTAGATAATCGACAGAAAACTGATGTTTTTATGGCAAAAAAATTGCATGTATGTTGCAAATCAAACTATCTACACATAGAATAATAACTTTTGGTGTCAAGTTTGATTGTGATGAAAGCTATAACGAATTTTGTCTTCGTTAACATTAGGACAAAATTGAAGATCAAATTTTTTCAATTCTTCGATGATTCCAAAGCTCCAGATTGGATTGAAAGAGCAGCAACTGAATAAACTATACTTTCTCTTGGAAAGATTTTACTCGGTTTTCTTGAGGTGAATTACCAGTGATTGTTCCGATTTTTTATACGAAAGTAACGGAATATTTGTGCTCGGGGTGATACGAGCAGTCTTTTCTTAATTTTGCAGCTTTAGTTCTTGTTGGAAAATTGCTATTTGCATGGAAAACGGCAATTTTTCTAGTCGTTGTTAACATCTGAGATTTTTTCGTGTTTTTTTTTGCGATTAAGAAATCATATTTAGTCTTGAGTTCTTTTTCTGTTTTTTTTTTAATTTTTCAAAGCAACATAAATACGGTTTTTCAATGCTTTTTGGTTCCTGATTTTTGAATTTTTTCATGTTTTTTCAATTATTTCAATACAATTCAATGCAAAAATTTCAAAACAGTTCGATGTAATGTAAAAAAACTATTACCGCAATTTGTTCACTCCAACAGAATGATAGCTAGAAAAAGCTTTCGAGACTAAAAAGTAGATTTCGTTTTGGATTTAAATCATCTTTAATCAACAACAGAAATGTCTCTTACGAATATCAAAAAATATGTCAACCAGCTGAAATGTCTATACTATAAAAATTTTCGAAAAGCAATTTTTTTTTATTTTGGGTTCCCTTTTTTATGTTCAGACTTCAAAGCATTGAAACATTGTTTATATTGTTGCTTTTGTTTCTTTTTTAGACATTTCGCATGATTTTTCAATGAGTTTTCGTTTTCTTCATTTTAGTGTAGATAAAATTTTACAGCATTATCTTTTACTGCATCAGGATAGCTAGAGAAGTATATTCAGCCTGAAATATAGTTACAACCAGAATTCAGTTAAATCAATTCTTTTGTGCTGCTGACATGCCCATTTGTTTCTGAAAACAAATTTATGAATACCAGAAAAATATGTCGACCAGCTGAAAAGTCTAATGTGAGGGTTTTCAAAAATTTTTACCAAATAAACTGAATTGTGCTCTTCTCCAACTGCTAATGTTTCGGCAAAATTGAAAAATAGGAAAATTTGGTGCTTGGAAAAGTGAGCCAAAAAATTTACTGTTTCGGATACGAGCTCATTAATTTTTTTAGTTATTACGTTCTAAAAAGTGGATCTGCGAAATAGTTTTTACGTTTGCTACCATAGACAACGAGTCAATGAGAATTATAGGTACCATATAAACCAAATTGAGCCTTAAAAACTCAAAATCAATTTTCGGTATTAATGCATAATTCCATTGAATCTGGCTAAAGTTTTCCACATGACAACATCGTGTTCTGTATTTTTCAGCTAACGAAACACCTGTTTTTTGAAACGTTTTAACAAAAACACTTTTTTTCTTCGCTTCTGAGTAACCTCCAACCGAACAAGCTTGCAAAAAGGGCGTTTCAGTTTTCTGTTAATAGTTATCAAGATCATTTACTCTCGGGGTTAGAAAAACAAGAGTAGTCGTTTCGTCTGCAAAAAACCTCCGATCGACTTGTGCAGCAATATTTAGGAAATTCAATTTCTTAACGTTAGGAGAACCGAAGGCTAAGCAATGAGCCCTGAAGAAATCTGTATGTTTTCCTTGTTGACTGGAAAAAATTAAAAGAAAATCAAAAAACTTTTTATGAACTCATGTAGGCTCAGTTTTTCAAATAGAACTGGGCAACTGAGTCAAACACTTTTTATAGGTTTACAAAAAGAAGTGTTCTCTTTTAATTCCTTTTTTGTTCCCACTTTCGATACGAAAGTAACGGAATATTTGTGCTCGGGTGGGTTTTTTTTCTTCAGACAAATTTCGACTTTTCAACTAGCCATTTTTGACGGAATTTATATATCGCGCAAAAGGTTTTGTTGTCTTGAGCTTAAATTTGAAAAGATATTTCACCTGTGATCATTTTTTGTATAGTTATAGGGGTTTGAAGATTGGCATGACCAACTTGGGACAATTAACGCGCGATATATTTCGCGCTATTAATGCGTCAGCGTAGATTTAATCCGTCATAGAAATTGTTCCAAATTGGTTGAAGGAAGCTTATTTGCCATAATTGATTTGTTACAAGGAGCAAAATCTATCCTTTTGTATTTTAAATGGCGTGTGGGGGGATGATGTTCACAAAAAATGTCAAATAAAAAATTTTTTTAACGTTATTACTGCTTCATAAACCTTAAAAGGCAGTCGAAACATTCAGGGCTTCGCCCTGATACGAGCAGTTTTATTTTACTTTTCGGATGTAATCAGAAATGCGTAAGTTTTTGCGTAACTGCTTTCATATTACAATTTTGTGATTTTGTGAAGGGTATCATTCTTTCACAGAATGTTCTTGAAAAATATTGGTAAAAAACTAAACGAAAACTAATGGGATGATAATCATTTGGATTTTTTTTGCTTTCATCTTTAAGAAAAAGATACACCTTTTAAGTTTTGAAGAATTTAAAAAACATGATTGAATGAAAGTTTCCTTTGTTTTCTCAGCGAATAAATCATAGATGACTTAATTGTGCATCATCTTCATTCATGTTTCAGTCGACTTCGTATATGAGCTATCTTGGCCATATGAAAATTTTGGTTTATAAAACTTTGGTTGAATTCCTGTCCATTTGGTTTGAGTTGACAAAACTCGAATTTCTTACCTCCGATTAAACAGTGGCGATACCAGCAAGACTCTGCCAACATTGTTTTTTTTTCAGGTTCATAAAATAGTTTCAACTTTGTTATGAGATTCATGCTGCTTTTGGCAGAAATAATTGAAAACCTACAACATTTTCTCAGACGATTGAGTCATTTTTCATCCTGATAATTAGTCTGTAGTCAGATTTGCCATTTTAGCAGTTATTTCGAAGATTCTAAGGCAACAAGTATTCTCCTGCGGCGAGTTTTTAATCAAATTGGCATGTCAAATATCTCTTTTTTGCTTGTTGAAACGATATTCGTGGTAACTCAGGCTTTGAAATTTGTTTGAAAACTTTGGAATGTGAGAAAATGGTCAAAAATTTCCGAGTATAGTTTGCACATCTTGTCAAACTATCATCAATAAATTTCGGAATTTGAACAAGACTGCTCGTATTAGGGCAAAGCCCTGAATGTTCCGACTGCCTTTTAGGGTTTATGGAGCAGCAGTAATAACATAAAAAAATTAAATGAAATAAAATGAAATGAAATTTTTTTTTCTTCTAAAATTTGAAATTTTTTATAAAAATCATCCCCCTACATGCCATATAAAGTATAAAAAGATAGATTTCGTTCCTTGTAACAAATCAATTATGGCAAATAAGCTTCGTTCAACCAATTTGGAACAATTTCTAATACGGATTAAATCTCCGCTTACGCGTTAATAGCGCGAAGTATATCGCGCGTTAATTGTCCCAAATTGGCCAAAATGGCAATCTTTAAACCCCCGTAACTTTACGAAAATGATCACAGGTAAAATATCTTTTCAAATTTGAGCTCAGGACAACAATACTTTTTGAATGATATAAAAAAATTCCGTCAAAAATGGCTAGTTAAAAAGTCGAAATTTGTCTGAAGAAAAAAAACCCACCCCGAGCACAAATATTCCGTTACTTTCGTATCGAAACTCGGAACAATAAATTTCGAGCTTTGAGAACGATAAAAAATTTCAAAGCATTTTGTTCCTACGCAAAATCCTCAAGCATTACTCTCTGCTGGAAAAAATAGTGCTTTTTTAGCATAATGATCACTTTAGAAGGTAGTAATGCCATATGATCTCTTCTTATGAAAAAATGAGTACAAAATGAACTTAAAATAACACGTTCCACATTATTGGCTGTTTTTGACATCAACTGGTTCTTGTTTTTA